ATCTTAACAATGAAAACAGACAGCGAAACAGCGATACTTAAAGTGTCGATCGCTGTTAGCATCTTGATTTACAAGAGTCTCCCCCAAACATTGCTGGAGTCCTGTTTTATATTCGCGCGACGTTCTTCGATGGTTCCGCCAGGTCTCATATTTTACTATAACAGTAAAATAACAAAAGGGAAAGAGGCCGTAAAAAGCTGCCGTCACGCGACGGTTAATTCGAGATCAGATAGCCGCGAAGTGGAAAGAAAAATGATTCACGGACAGCGTAAAAGTGATTCACGAAGATACTCGAAGGTGTTGGCCATAACTCGAAGCATGTTTCATATATTGGAACGGATCGAGTTTTATTTTTCCCTTAAGGATCCGAGGCATCGCACCATTATTTTACACTCGCCTGCGCCATACCCGATACCCTCGATATAGGTGCGCCGGACGTGTGTGTAACGTATGCGTGTGCACGGTAGCCGATACCTGCTGCGATAACTTTGCGATCGAATTCTTTTTGCGATTGTTTTTTAGAAGATCGCGGAGCCGATACCGTGGGCCTTGACTGACATCGAGTGGCTCGCACTATATATCGCTTCATCCGTCCTTCCTTCCCACTGACTATCAAAACAGAAGCTCCGAACTTCAAGCCTTCGCAGACTAGAATTTCTCAAAGTGCAGTGGTGCGAGAAAGAAAATGTCAATTTCATGTGATTCTCGTGTTACTTTTATGATTGTATCCTCAATGGATAGCTGAGATTCTCCTGATTAGAACGAGTACAAACACGACGTACATCGGACTATGTTTATGGGCAAGCCTATTGTTATAGATTGACTGTTAATTAATCTGAGAATAGCTTAATGTGATCCGAACTACATCGTGTTTGGACTCGTTTGAATCGGAAGAATCTCAGCTATCCATTTATGCTGCAATTACGAAGATTAGGAGTTATTTACTGATTTACTGTTATTTACATTTGAGATATTTATTGAATGTAATTTTCACTGAGACTTTTCTCAGGGTTTTCTCGAAAAAAATGATCGATCTATCTTCCGTAGTGCACCTGGCCAAATACATAATTGGATCGTTCGAAAAGTTTCGTTTTATCCCGAGAGAATGAAAGATGATTTTGAAACGTTCCCAGTAAAAAAAAAACTCCTTCGCATTTTTCTAGTAGCTTTAAAAAATCTCATGTTCGTAAGATCAAGTCCGAAAATTTTTTAAAAGACGAAGCAACTTTCCGAACGTCCCAGTACACGCTTGCTTCTAAAACATGTTGTGCAGTAAAATAATTATAAAATGAAATGGGACAGCTGCCGATACGAGAAGTTCCGAGCAAATCGGACGCCGTTACGTAGTTTCCCGTGTGATCCTCCGTATCGGATAGCGAGCAACGTTGATCGAAACGTGATACGCCAGCCGGTATTTTGTACGTACGATTCGCGTGTCCGGCGACGCGACGTTTGCATCCTGGGTTCGATTAAATGGCCAGGTACCTTAATCGGCGAGGTAGGAAGATTCCGGGCGGGGCGAGGCAAGTTTTATCGGGAAGTTGCGCGGAACCGGCTCAAAAAGAGACGGACAGCGCGCCGCGCCGCTCCGAAACTTCGAATGCTAATGCAATCACGGAAGTTTTATCGAACTTTCGCGTCGAATACAACGTTCCTGAAACTGGATACCCGTCGTGGAGAGAGAAAAAAAAATCAACTCTGCAAGAAAGAATCTCCGACGGCGGCGGGGCTACGGAATTTACGGCGAGTCTTGACAATCGGATCGGATAGGATTTACGGGAGAATCTTGGCTGATGCGGCGTGCCGGAGCTGTTTCGAGCTTCGAGCCCTGCTTGCAGCTTTCATTTTTTATTAGCAGCTAGCTCGTTCGCCTTGTTAGCCGACCCCGCACGTTGGATCCTCGCGAAATTCGTCGAAGAGCATCGATTGCCTCGAACTTTCGACGACGAGCGCCGACTACGTGAGGGCTCCGCGATTTTTTAAATCTCGTTTCTGAATTTTTCATGATTTCTCTGTAGACAGCGGCGACGAGTACACTGTTATACGAATATTTGTGTAATATATTTTTACTGACAACAGTTGCGGAACATGTTACACAGATGCACACTACACCTTGGGTGCAGTAAACCTCCTTTACATCGGATAAAAATGTGTATTTTGTCAAATATTCATTTTAATCCTTTATAATCTTCTAGCTTTTAATTTTTATTTTAATCTCTTTATTCATTTTTCATTTGTTTGTTATTTCTATTATATTTCCTTCTTATTTATCCGGTGCGCTAAATGAAACAATATTTCGATATAAACAATATGCTAGAAGCATCACTGTTGTATGTACTTTTAATTTAATAAAACATACGTTTATTAAAATATCAAATTTTACACAAGTATTACAAATATGTTTTCGTTAAAAAATTAGGAAATTATCAGTGGAAGTTGCGTTTTACGATCGTCTGATCACCTGATCATCTGTTGGGGCACAACAAGGTGGTAACAATACCAAATTCATCGATCCCATATAAAATTTTGATCATTACTGTTTCCAGTAGCATTCCGGGTTTTTTCAGTCGCTTTATCCTGGACCTGATCCCCGCGTCGTCTGTCGCGGGATCCATCGATAAATCTATAATCACCGATACTTTATTCCGCGAACGTGCCTCGGTCGCGACGAGCACAGGAAAACGGTCGTCCGAATCAATCCGGGAAAATCTTTTTTTTTCCTACCGGCCGGTGATTAATTGATAGCCATCTATCTTCATTTGATCCTCGTTAGTGTCGCTTTTCCGGGGACGCGGGAGAAGCCGGAAAAAGAAAACGACAGGGAACGAGAGTCGATCGGGTGTACCTGGCCGTTTAATCGATGCAACTGATCGCTTTCATGTTATAAACAATTTCCGTCGACTCTTGTTTTCCTTTCGCTGATACGAAACTTTCACGTTCGCTGCACCCTTTCGCATATTGGTGGCGTTAATTCTTGACTATAGTTTTCAAGATCATTTTTCAAAAAACTAGAATACTATCCACTATGATAAATTTTCTGGTTTCAGTTCAATTAATTGAATTAATTTGATTGGACATATTTCGGATCGATTTTCGACACTCGACGAGTCAATTAATTTTTCGATTCGCTTTCTAGCTAGTCTTTACGCTAAATAAACATATTCTGTGGCAGTTGCAAATGAAAATTGCTTCCACCCCTATTAAATAATATAAATTTCTAAAAAATTGTTGTAGATAATTATTGGGAATGTAATTATTTATTAAAACAGGAAACTTTTAAATAGATATGTATACATAAAATTTATTTTAATAAATAATTACCCTCGCAATAATTATCTACAAATTGGAATTATTTAATAAGCGTTTCTTGCAAGTAAAGATATCATTACGAACTACGTCTGTAAAAATTATTTCTCCATTAAAAATGGATTTTTCTCGTTTTAATAACGTCCATAGAAGTGAATTTAATCTTTAGTTCACTTCGCTAAAGTTCGCTTCACCGAATTCGAGTTCATATAAGCGAACCTGATGTCGCCGACTGATCTCGCTGTAATTACCTTTTCTAAGCAACCGACCTATCTCTTATGATTGCAGAATTCCTGTCGACCAGAAGGATGAAGAGCAGACGAATGTTGACGATAGCCGTGGCTGTCTTATCGATGCTAGCGTTGCCGAGATGCAGCGGCGAGCTCTACACCGCGCTGGCGGATATGGAGGAATTGCTGGAAACGGAGGCGGTGCTCATCGACACTCTGAACGGCTACATTAAAGCGCAGGAAGAGCGTCTGGCTACTCTCAGAAAGTGAGTCTCACCATTCCGATTGCTGTCCTATTTCTGCGCAGACGTTTACGCGTGCTTTTTTACGCAACAGCTAGAAATTAACCCTTTGCACTCGAGTGGTGACTCTGAGGCACCATTAAAATTTGCTATATCACGGTCCAAGATTATTTTTATATCAAGAAAATTTAGATTTGTTAAATAATTGTTAAGGGCGTAACTGTTGCGCGAGTCACAAGAGACAATTTCATGTGCATAAAATGCACTTTGTCGTATAAAATAAAAATACTATAAGCCAGAAAAATTATTCTAGATTTACAATTGAAATAGCTTCATGTTCTAAGATTATTTTTATATCAACAAAATTTAGATTTAAATAATTGTTAAGGGCGTAACTGTTGCGCGAGTCACAAGAGACAATTTCATGTGCATAAAATGCACTTTGTCGTATAAAATAAAAATACTATAAGCCAGAAAAATTATTCTAGATTTACAATTGAAATAGCTTCATGTTCTAAGATTATTTTTATATCAACAAAATTTAGATTTAAATAATTGTTAAGGGCGTAACTGTTGCGCGAGTCACAAGAGACAATTTCATGTGCATAAAATGCACTTTGTCGTATAAAATAAAAATACTATAAGCCAGAAAAATTATTCTAGATTTNTCAGTTCAATTAATTGAATTAATTTGATTGGACATATTTCGGATCGATTTTCGACACTCGACGAGTCAATTAATTTTTCGATTCGCTTTCTAGCTAGTCTTTACGCTAAATAAACATATTCTGTGGCAGTTGCAAATGAAAATTGCTTCCACCCCTATTAAATAATATAAATTTCTAAAAAATTGTTGTAGATAATTATTGGGAATGTAATTATTTATTAAAACAGGAAACTTTTAAATAGATATGTATACATAAAATTTATTTTAATAAATAATTACCCTCGCAATAATTATCTACAAATTGGAATTATTTAATAAGCGTTTCTTGCAAGTAAAGATATCATTACGAACTACGTCTGTAAAAATTATTTCTCCATTAAAAATGGATTTTTCTCGTTTTAATAACGTCCATAGAAGTGAATTTAATCTTTAGTTCACTTCGCTAAAGTTCGCTTCACCGAATTCGAGTTCATATAAGCGAACCTGATGTCGCCGACTGATCTCGCTGTAATTACCTTTTCTAAGCAACCGACCTATCTCTTATGATTGCAGAATTCCTGTCGACCAGAAGGATGAAGAGCAGACGAATGTTGACGATAGCCGTGGCTGTCTTATCGATGCTAGCGTTGCCGAGATGCAGCGGCGAGCTCTACACCGCGCTGGCGGATATGGAGGAATTGCTGGAAACGGAGGCGGTGCTCATCGACACTCTGAACGGCTACATTAAAGCGCAGGAAGAGCGTCTGGCTACTCTCAGAAAGTGAGTCTCACCATTCCGATTGCTGTCCTATTTCTGCGCAGACGTTTACGCGTGCTTTTTTACGCAACAGCTAGAAATTAACCCTTTGCACTCGAGTGGTGACTCTGAGGCACCATTAAAATTTGCTATATCACGGTCCAAGATTATTTTTATATCAAGAAAATTTAGATTTGTTAAATAATTGTTAAGGGCGTAACTGTTGCGCGAGTCACAAGAGACAATTTCATCTGCATAAAATGCACTTTGTCGTATAAAATAAAAATACTATAAGCCAGAAAAATTATTCTAGATTTACAATTGAAATAGCTTCATGTTCTAAGATTATTTTTATATCAACAAAATTTAGATTTAAATAATTGTTAAGGGCGTAACTGTTGCGCGAGTCACAAGAGACAATTTCATGTGCATAAAATGCACTTTGTCGTATAAAATAAAAATACTATAAGCCAGAAAAATTATTCTAGATTTACAATTGAAATAGCTTCATGTTCTAAGATTATTTTTATATCAACAAAATTTAGATTTAAATAATTGTTAAGGGCGTAACTGTTGCGCGAGTCACAAGAGCCAATTTCATATGCATAAAATGCACTTTGTCGTATAAAATAAAAATACTATAAGTCAGAAAAATTATTCTAGATTTACAGTTGAAATAGCTTCGAGTGCAAAGTGTTAAATTCGCGAGCACGTGCTACCGAAACCCCGCGGTCTTTAAATCCGTCGAGCATCGTCGATATCCGTCGAACATTGCCGGAAACCCTCGGATTCTCATTTCAGAGGCTCCGAGAAATTGTTGGTCTCGGTTGTGATACATTTCTCAACCGACTGCGAACGAAAAAATGTTCGCACAAATCACGGTTTATGCTTTCAACGAAATACGAAATGAAATTGTAACTCGCTCGAAAGCGAAACGTTCTCGCAGTTTTAATTAGAGCGGCGCTCGTCGAAATTTATACTGCGGCTCGCGAAAACGTTCGAACAACTTTTTAAACGGAATTACTTTTTTCAAATTGGACCAAATGGTTTCACAATGTCTGAAGAACATTAGAGATAAAACGATCGCGTTTTTCAACATTTTTATCTCGGGATAGAAGGGAAAATTTAAATTTATCCACGCCAAAATGTCAAAAAGACAAGTGAAATGAATCAACCATACTATAAATTCACTTAACCATAAATTATGTTAACAATAGCTATGATCGGTAAACGATACACATGTAAGTAAATGATGACGCTCACGATGTGGAAAATATGACTTACGCCACTGTGATTCTAATCTGTAACTTCTAATATCGATTGTCTGTAACTTCTAATATCGACCGATCACGATAAAATTTTCATTTTGCATCCAAAACGAATTTCTCCAATTTCGGTTCTAGACTCAAAAAAAGGTAAAAACGTAGGTCCTTCATTTTTCTATCATTCTAACCAATTACAGTTTTTGTAAGATAGTAAATCTGATTCAGTAAGTCTATTAAAATTTAGCAAATCTAGCAAATCTAGCAAATCTAGTAAAATCTAGTAATCTAATAAATCTAGCAAATCTAGCAAATCTAGTAAAATCTAGTAATCTAATAAATCTAGCAAATCTAGAAAATCTAGTAAAATCTAGTGAAACCAAGTAAATCTAGTAAATCTGATCAGTCTACCATCTCAAAAAACTTCAAACGATTCGATCGAATCTTGGAAGAATTGCTCCACTTCAGAAGGTGTTCGGATACTTTTGCGAGCCACTGTACCGGCCGGCGCGAACCGATCTGAAACCTGAAGAGAATTTTACGATCCTAAAAATCAGCGGTCCCGTATACACAAAAGAGAAATAGTTTTACGAGGCCGTATTTATGCGGCTGGTTACCGGCAACAACGTCGTAAAATCACGAGACGTATTAACCAATTTACAGGACGTTATCGCAGAGACGGGGCGTGCTTTAATTTCGCCGCCTATAACATCTAGTAAACTTCCGGTCAATAAAAACCGTCGTAAAATCCGCGGGGGCCCGCGTTCACGTGCCAAGGGCGAAACAAAAAAATAACCGGAGTCGCATTAAATACATTCCCGGGGTCTCTTGGAGCCGAATCTGGACGAAAACCCGCGGTTTATGCACACGTACACACAACGGACGCGGGAAAAAATAACGCGGCTCTGGTTTCAAGCGACGAGGATCGAGTGGCGAGGGAAAGAGAGCCCAAGCGACGTGTCCCTCGCGTTTCAATTTCCCCAGTTCGCGGGGATTAAAACCGGCGAAACCGGGCCGGGTCGGGCCGAGTCGGGCCGCGCGGCGCGGCGGCCCGTGGCTCGTTGCATTAACTTTTTCGAGCGCGTACCCCAAGAGTAGCAAAAATCCGCAAAGCCGTATACATATACGAAAATCCATTCCGGCATTCCGTCGCGGTGACCGAGTTAATTTTCTTCTTCGAACGTCGCGCTGCTAACGAGGACTCCGCTACCATCCTCGAATCCGCTTCTCTTCCCTCTCTAAGCTACTTCATTTTCCTCTCTTTGGGTCACTCCTCTCCTCACTTCATTTCCACGTTTCTCTTTGCCTTGCCTATCGGCGCATTTCTCTACGTGGATTTTACTTTTTCTAATTTATTTATTTATTTATTTTATTTGTCCGCGTTGGCACGTAACTCTGATCAAAATTTGAAAAGAAGTATTTCAGTCATTCTACGGTAAGCCAGTGCCTCGAACGTTAAACAAATATTCGAGTCGTTCTGTCCAGTCTCGAAAGAGTTGTTACGTTCAACCCTCAAGCGTTCCTGGTGTCAATTTGACGCTACTTTCAAGTTGTGGGGTGTTATTCTGCCATTTTTAGGGCAACTGATCTCAGACTGTGTGACTTTTATTTGTTGTACATGAAGTATATGTATTTATTATTACCACTGAAAGAACAGATAACGTAAAGATGTGTCAATATTCGTTACCAGAAGCGTCTGTGTGTCAATTAGACACTTTTTAAAGAAATACAGTAAATTCTCCCTAATTCGCGCTCAGATTGCGCACAAAAATGGACAATTTGGCAAGAAAAAATACGATTATTCGAGCCTTCTTGTTCGTTTTTATAATTGTTAACAATCGGTAATTATAAAAACGAGTCGCAAGGCTCGAATAATCGTATTTTTTCTTGCCAAATTGTCCACTTTCGTGCACAATCTGAGCGCGAATAATAAATAATTTTATTGCACCTAGAATATATATTATGAGTGAAAACTTGGACGATGAGGAACAGTAAAATATGGAATGCTATAAATGCAAAAAAAGCAATTTGATTCTATGATCTATATTGAAAAACGTGAATTTCTATGTGAAAAATGTAAAGAGAACATAGCGTAAATTCATCCTCCTTTATTTCCGACAAATATTTACTAAAATAAATCGTTTGCCTCTTGTCATATCAATTTTTTCCGACACCGTGACACACCAAGAACACATCAAGTTGGAAAAATGAGTGCGGGATGAGGATGAAAAGCGGGCCGATGCTTGTTCTACCCAGTGAACACTAAGTAGATTCTGTTCCAAATCCTCTGAACGAGTCCGACACGAGCTCGTAGAACACGGGTTTAAGAAAGTTCTAAAAAACTAGTGGTTTAGGTCTTCGTGCTTTATCCACTTCCCAGTGCTTTATCCTTCGTGCTTTATCCAGTTTCGTCTGTGTTCCTCTCCTCTTCTCTATCAGCCACTTTGTTTATCTCTCTCTCTCTCTCTTCCTCTTCGGTTCACTCTCCGCCGTTAATTATTTCCCCGGGGCTCATTCAGACGCAAACTCGAGGTCGCACGATCCGAGAGGATATCATCGTGTCAAAGACAAGCACTCAAAGGACCCGGGATCTCTCATATCCGCGGAGAACGAGAAACCTCCGCTGCCAGGATAAGCGGGGAACCGTGGAGCCGAGAGAGAAATCGAGAGAGAGAGGGAGAGCGAGAGAGAGAGAGACGGGATCACTTCACGGCTGAAGGACTCCGCGACTCGTCGAAATTTATTGGAAACGTAAGAGCTCCAAGAAAATACAGAGTCGCGCGACCCGGCCCGGCCCGGCCCGAACCGAACCCGGGCCCGAATTCCCGACGTTCGCGCGTCGATAGTAAAATATTATCACAGCGCGCGACGGCGACGTGCCGGACACGTCCGCGCGAGAACGTCCGCTTGATTTTCTTTCGGATATTCCCTGTCGAACGGAGTCGCGGACGGTCGACGTCTTTATTTTCTTTTCGCCGCGTATCGCGCTCTGGTTTCCCAGCTAAGTATTTAATTCCCCGTGAAAGGCTATTTTACCGGGGAAAAGAAAATTCACGCTTGGAAAACGCTGTTATCGTGCCGGAAGTTGGTAAATCAATTTTCTGCGAATATCGGGTTACCGTGGGAAATCGCGGAGTCCGTGAGCTCATTTTTATCGAAAGCCGCGATGCGCTCGTCGTCGTTGTTTGTAACACGAAACGTCCGCGCGCGCGCGGAATTTCAATTCTCGCGGATGAATTTCGGAATTTGGCGCACCGTAAAAACGACCGGCGGAAATTATGCAGCCCGTTCAACGGCTCGTCCGTGTTGCTGCAAGCTTGCGGGATGATATCATGCGTACCCGATTCAATCCGCTCAATTCGGGATTGCTATGAAAGTATTTTCATGTGTTCGACGATCGTGGATCGACGGTTCCGATAGCACGATCGTTAAGGAAGCGAAGGATTGAAGGTTTCAGCGAAAATGCACTGCGCGCTGTCGTCCGCCCGGTTTCGGCCGGGGTCATCGTTTACGCGCCGCAATGATTAATTTAATAGGCAGACTTAATCGCGGGATATTAAACACTGGTAACATTACAGCGAGACGTTAATGCTGAGTACCTGTTCGTAAATTTTCGTGGATTCGGCCGGGCAATTACACAGCGGAAGCTCGACGGCGGAACGGGATTTCGGTGCTGCGCCGGATTATCGGTTATTCCGGACTATTGGATGATACCCTTAGAAATAGCCTCGCATAATTTTACGTCCTACGGCTGCTCGCTGCGAACGCTATGAACGTTCGATGTAGCGGACCATTTTCTTCGGCTCCGATCTTTGCCCTTCTGATAATTAACTATTCTGAAACAATTCGTGGGACATGAGCCGGCAAAATCTAGAATCTTTAGACGATATCGTTTCGGACGATAAAACTTACGTTTCAAACGATTCTGGAAGACATCGCCGATTAACATCGGCGGAGGCGTCGTCGAGGCAGTTTCGATTCTGAATTAACGCTCGAACAGCGGACGTTTTTGAAAAAAAAGAAAAGACATAACTAGGTATGCTTATTTTAGGATCGCCAATAAATTTCGCTTGCCAATTTCGCTCGACATATTTTTTAATGTACTCCTATCTTAACGCTAGGTTTACCGAATCCGTCAAAATGACTGCTAGCATGACTAATTTTTTAATTTACAATTTGTGTGCGATGTACATTCGAAGATAACAATAATTGTAGAATGTATAGATTGTGAACTTCTTTCTAACGTATATTTACGAGGTAAATTATAAAAAGAATAGTGTATTTTAGTAGTTACGATGCATCTCTCATTATTTATAAGAAAAGAAAAAGTGGATGAACACTTTTACGTACATATTAACATAGAAATATCTGGGTCCACAACCACCCACCGATGGCCTTTCACGTACATTTTTCATCGATGGCTCTGCGAGTGTTACGGAGCTCGAGAATTTTTAATAATTTGCTAATTAGGGGATCTAGACAATTATTCGGAGAAAAATAGACACAATTCAGTCAAGACTCGAGGCAACGATGCTCTTATCGTTGTACAAAGGCTTCGAACTTTCCAGCCAGATGGAACATCCATTTTATAATCCAAAAGTTTACCTTCCAATGTTTGGAACGTTTGTTGTTGTCTTATTTTCTATTGTCTGCGGGCCGTTAAAAAAATCTTCATCGCTCTCTAAAAATGAGACGGAGAGTCTTTTCTTTTATACAGCACGTTTACGTTGCGATGTTTCGAGCTCGAGTACATACAGTGGCTCAACGAAAACGTTCGTAAACTTTTATAAGCTTTTAAGTAGGGATAACATTAATTTAACCAGATCGCTTAAATTTTGTTGAGACGTTAGGGAGATTAGTTCACTAGACGATGCCTTAACTTTTCTGTAAAATTGCATTTAGTTAGAATGACAACGAAACATGTAAAAATCTCGTGTCTTTTAACCTTTTTACCTGAACTTGGAACGAAAATTTAAACAATGCGTTTTATATGTCTCTGTCATATAGTTGCATGCTGAAAATGACGATTAAAGATTGGGAAAATTGCAATTTTTCACGATCTTCGACGCATGCTCGATTTTCTTCATATTTTCTTTAAACGCACACTTTCACAAAACATATGATTTAATAAAAAAATATCAAAGCATACATCCTTTTAAATCTGTTCGCTGTTTTCGACGAGTACACTGGTCACAACAAAAAAATGCTGCCATTTCTTCACAACGAGTATACTCGTCAAAAGCAGTTGCAATGTTCAGTCGCAATTTCTCAGAAAATATTTTCAGATATTGCCAAGAAAACTAATCTCTTCGACATCTCGACGAAAAGCAGATGATTTGGTGCAACTTGAAGAAAGTTATTACGTTTTAAAGGATTGCGGAACATTCTCGCGAGCCACTGTGAATCGACAATTGATTTTCCGACGGCCTAATGCGGCAACACTTCCGTTGACAATTCGATTCGATTCGATTCGATTCGATTCGATTAGGCCTCCGAATTTCGCATTACCCGGCAGCCACGGCGATTTCATATTCGAAGGCGTGTCCCCGCCGAATTTCGATGGGCTCCGCGCGACTCGCAAAAAATACGGCCAGGAATGCAGAAGAGATTTTCCCGACGCTTTCATCCCCCTCTGGCCTCTCTGCGCTCGGTCTTTTTTCTTTTTTCTATCTTCCCCGGGGTGTGATTTGGCGCGTTGCCCGACTCGATACCCGATGCGATGCCGCGGCATCGCCGTTTCGAGGGCAACGGGGAGCAAGAGGACCAACGGGTTAGGCGAAAAACGTTAAGAACGTGGTCGGGCCGGACCGCAGCCCCTCCCTATCTCGAATTTCCTCGAGGAAACCGGGCGCCGCGGCGATCCTTGTCCCTGCAGGTGCAATATTTCCGGGACTCGACCTTCTTCCTTCTATTTTTAATCCGCTAACGGTGTAATTACTTCCGGCGAGCTACCAAGCCTTCTTCTTTGCTGCCGGTGACCTCTTTATTTCAAGAGTCCACTAAGCTTCAATTGTTCGTTAGCTTACGACACGTTTTGACAATTATTAGTATTTTTATTGCAAGGTCCAGGTGACGGAACACTTAGCACTGAATTTACTGGATTTCGAATGATTTTACAATTTTTATTCTATTCTTCCTCTCATTCGAATAAAGAATTATTCAGATGGATAAATTATTCAATCAAATAAATATAAAACATAAATAAATATAAAATCAAATAAATTATTCACATAAATAGGATAATTTATGACGAATAACGAATGAAATGTCACTCGAATAAAATGTTTAATTAAAAAGAATTCATTTCTCGTGTTAAAATGTCACTCGAATAAAATGTTCAATTAAAAAGAATTCATTTCTCGTGTTAAAATGTTACTCGAATAAAATGTTCAATTAAAAAGAATTCATTTCTCGTGTTAAAA